ATAACAAGGGCAAATAATGTTAGCCAATCAGCGCGTTTGTTTACATTTTGCGTTCTTGACCAATCAGAATGCCTGAAATTCGAAACATGTAAACAAAAGGAGTGAGAAAATAACACCTTGTTCTACGCCCTCGGTGACATTCGATATTAATTTTTTTTCGCCAAAACTGACAAATTCTGATAAAGCATGCTTTCTTCTTTAATTTCCTCGGGGGTATTTTTTAAATTCGATCTAGAACGCGAAATATTTATGTTTGAATAACAGTGTTTCGACGCGCGTAAAATAGCAGACTCTCACTTGCACTATCTTTACACACACACAAAAAAATTGGTAGATTTGGCAGTTTAAACTTATTTTCCCCACACCACAGGTGACATGTTTTTAAATATTACCTATCTGATCTCATTTCGCATCGGAAATGCGTCACAACGATCCACGACTGACAGGTACAATATCACTTTACTCATTACTGTACTTAGTACATATCCGGTTGGCAAAATGGCGATTGTTTGACAGACCTTCGCGAAGGGCTTAATATTTTTGCTAACAAACTGTTCACGAGGGTTTCGTTCTGTTCGTCTTCTGGTTCGTCGTCAATCGTCATCGGCTGCCTCACTTTCTTGGTCGCTTTCGTCCTTTTCAAAGCAAGTCGCCGGGGCAATCAGCGTTAATATTTGCTGTCTTTCGAAGACCTTCCAAGAGCTTCAACATTTGCCAACGTTGTTGCTTCACAAACTGGGCAATCGCTGATGTTGGGCAGGATGCATTCGATGTGGAACGAAGGTCCACAACCACGGAAAACGTTTCAAGTGATTAATCTTTTCGCAGGCAGGCAAATCGCAGGTAAGATTTATATTTTATATTTACAGATCTTGATACATTTATAGTCAGCGTCCTTGGAGTTGTTCCAAAATATGAGTGTGTGCCAAAGTTAAAATATTACTCATAATCTCCAGAACATGTAGTTTGGACAATGTTTTGAATCACTGCAGTTTAGAATTAGCAGTCGTTTTAAAGACAACAGAACTGGCAGCCATGGCACCCCATAACTATTCAGTGTACAATACCAGTCAATGTAAATTACCACCTCCCCCAACCCAGAAGTAGGCAGTTTTTATTTCCCAGCACTGCATAATCAAAATTGCTGGATTGTATAAATGTCTGGCTTTGTCTCAGTGGCCCTGCTTTGCCCCATGAACCCCACAGTACACACTTCCTAGATTCAAGCAAGCGGGGACTTATATTGACTGGTACTTAGGGCCTGTTTATATGGAAGCCGGGCTGGCCCGCTAAGTGAGACAGCCCGGTAAGCTGTGCATTTATTGGACAAGTGGGCTGGCCAGGTTGCTGAGATCTCACTTGACAAGAGGTGAGATCTCGCTTACCGGGGTGGAAATTTCTCCATATAAACACTCACAAGCGGACTAGCCCGGTTGCTGGGATGAAAGATACCGCCGCAAGCTATTTTGAACAACTGTCAAAACCAGCAAGCGGGATGAAATTTTCTCATATGAACACAAGAGAAATTCATCCCGCCTGCCTATCACGCTAAGCAGGCCAGCCCGGCTTCCTGCATATAAACAGGCCCTTAGTTGAATTGCAGCACTTGGTCTGCCTGTGTGTTACTTTTAAGTGTACCCTGGTTCTAGAGGCTCTTTGCAAGGTAAAAGAAACAAGAGGTGAGAATGGAAAGCCTCTGATCACATCAATTGCAAATCCCACTTCCACACTTGAATAGGTTCAGAATTTGAATCTCACATGTGATTGGCCATTTGTAAAAATATGTCAAACCTGTTTGGGAAATAAACACTACTGTGAGCTAATTATAGCTATCTATCTATTTAGCTTTGCCAACTAGGGCCGGGTCACCACAACAGCATATGCCAATTACTGTGAGCCCTTTTTACCCAACCCACCCTGTCAACTTTCCATGTGGGAGGAAACTGGAGTACCCGGGGAAAACCTGTGACGTTCAGCAGAGCGTTGCGGTTTATTCTTTTCACATGAGGACTGGGTTTGAGTCGCATTGAGAAAGTTCTCACTGACTTGAACCTGCAGCCTCAGAGGTGACAGGCAAGTGCGCTAACCACTTGGCCACCGAAGCCCCAATTAAAAAGCCCCAAGCTATTATAGTAAACTCAACCAAGCATGAATATTAATACTCCCGCAGGTGAAAAGGTATTAAATTTCTCAGGAGATAAACATATCAACATTAATCAGTTTTGCAGGACATGTAATACATTCTTGGTTGAGTTTAATAGAATATTTTAATACAGGCTATAATTAGCTTACAGTAATGTTTATTTCCCAAGCCAGTTTGGCATATTTTTACAAATGGGCAATCACATGCGAAATTCAAATTCTGAACCTAATCAAGTGTGGAAGTGGGATTCGCAATGGACAGTGACCCTGGGCTGTACACAGCACAGGGGAGGGGGCGGCAGGAGGGGGAAACTGCCCTCCTAAAGAAAACTATATTTACAATTTTTAGAATGTCATTATTAATTATTCTTTGGATATTTGGAACTTTTTTCAGCATATAAGCCTTACTGCCCCCTGGTGATACGGCCCTGATGTGACCAGAGGCTCTCCGTTCTTGCATCTTGTTTCTTTCGCCTCGCAAAGAGCCTCTGGAACCAGAGTACACTTAAAGTAACACACACACACACAGAGCAAATAATATAATGCTTTTAAGGCAGTGAATTGGTAGGGAAATCTTTCAATAATATCCTCTGATTATGGTAAACTATGTACCAATACCAGACAATATAAATCCCTGCCTGCTCAAATCCCAAAGTATGGGGCAAAGCAGGGTCACTGAGACAAAACCAGATATTTACACACAGATATTTACAGATAGTGACAGTGCTGAGAAGTAAAAACTGCCTACTTCTGGGTTGGGGGAGGTAGTAATTAATTACATTGACTGGTATTGTACACTAAATAGTTATGGGGTGCCATGGCTGCCAGTTCTGTTGTCTTTAAAAGAGTTAAAGGACTGCTAATTCTAAACTGCAGTGATTCAAAACATTCAAACATGTTCTAGAGATTATGAGTAATATTTTAACTTTGATACACACTCATATTTTGGAACAATTTCCAAGGACGTACTGACTATAAATGTATCAAGATCTGCAAATATAAAATATAAGTCTTACTTTAAAATTGCCATCGATTTGCGATTTGCCTGCCTGCAAAAAGGTTAATCCACGTGGAACGTTTTCCGTGGTTGTGGACTTTCGTTCCACATCAAATGCATCCTGCCCAACATCAGCGATAGCCCAGTTTGTAAAGCAACGTTGAAGCTCTTGGAAAGACAGCAAATACTAACGCTGTTTGCTCCGGCGACTTGCTTTGAAGAGGACGAAAGCGACCAAGAAGTGAGGCAGCCGATGACGATTGACAACGAACTAGAAGACGAACAGAACGAAACCCTCGTGAACAGTTTATTAGCAAAAATATTAAGACCTTCGCGAAGGTCTGTCAGACAATCGCCATTTTGCCAACCGGATATGTACTTTTAATGTACAGTAATGAGTCATGCGATATTGTACCTGTCAGTCCTGGATCGTTGTGATGCATTTCCGATGCGAAATGAGATCGATGAGATCAGATAGGTAATATTTAAAAACATGTCAGCTGTGGTGTGGGGAAAATAAGTTTAAACTGCCAAATCTACCAATTTTTTATGTGTGTGTAAAGATAGTGCAAGTGAGAGTCTGCTATTTTACGCGCGTCAAAACACTGTTATTCAAACATAAATATTTCGCGTTCTAGATCGAATTTAAAAAATACCCCCGAGGAAATTAAAGAAGAAAGCATGCTTTATCAGAATTTGTCAGTTTTGGCGAAAAAAATTAATATCGAATGTCACCGAGGGCGTAGAACAAGGTGTTATTTTCTCACTCTTTTTGTTTACATGTTTCGAATTTCAGGCATTCTGATTGGTCAAGAACGCAAAATGTAAACAAACGCGCTGATTGGCTAACATTATTTGCCCTTGTTCCTCGCAGCCCTATTTTGTAATTTTTGCAGTTTGTTTAACAGATAATCGGAACAATTATCCCAAACAAGACTGCAATAATCAAAATGTGACAGCACAGTAGCATTGTATACTTTTAACAAGGTTGATTGTGGAACAAATTTCTTTATTCTCCGAATCATTCCTATAGCTTTTGAAGATTTTGAAACAATACTTTGTATTTGGTCCTTCCACGAGAGGTGCTCATCAACAATGACCCCCAAAGTTTTAGATTTGTTGGCTCGCTTTATTGTTGAGTCACCAAGTTTGACTATAGGATCTGTTGAAATGTTTGAAATGCGTTGTCGTGAGCCAACAATCATGTGTTCAGTTTTCTTTTTATTAAGAGTGAGTTTATTCGAAGTTAGCCATTGGTGCACATTTTCTAAATCGGTATTTAAGCGTTCTTGTATTTCAGTGTCAGTTTTACCTTGAGTAGAAATATTTGTGTCATCAGCAAACATACTTGCCGAGGATAATGATAGACAGTTCGGAAGGTCGTTTATATATAGAAGAAACAGCAAGGGGCCTAAGTTAGAACCTTGTGGTATGCCACAATTAACCGTTCTTTCATTAGATGTAATTTGATCCACCTTGAAAATTTGTATCCGATTAGTAACTAGGATTGAAACCAAGCTAGATCACGACCTCTTATTCCATAATAATCCATTTTTGTTGTAAGTATATTATGATCTACACGTTCAAACGCCTTTTTAAGGTCAAGGAATATAACTCCACTCAAACACCCCCTATCCATACTTAGCAACCATTGATTTGTTGTACGAAGGAGAGATGTTTGAGTGGAGTGTTTCCTCCGAAAACCTGCTTGTTGTTCTATGAGTAAACCGTTAGATTCTAAATACGTATTAAGCTGTTCTGAAATTAATTTTTCAAATATTTTTGGAACACATGATAAAACTGAAATTGGTCTATAATTATCACATATTAAATTGCTGTCAGATTTATGAATTGGCGAGATTATAGCAATCTTAAAGTCGTCAGGGAAAATGCCCAAGTTTATTGAAGCATTAAATATCGCTGCTAATGAGGGAGCTATTTCTTCAGCCGCATCTTTGAGAAGTTTTGGCGGAATTCTATCGTGTCCTGCTGATTTTGATGTTTTCATTATGGAAAGTAATTTGTATATTTCTATTTGAGAAACATTTTGCATTGAGAATTCTGTGCTTGTATAAGTTAAATAGGACTCTGGCGTCCTACCGCTGTTCGGTATTTCATTAGCTAATTCTGGCCCTACTTCACTAAAATATGTGTTTAAAGCATTTGCAATTTCAGACTTTTTAGTTAAAACTTGATTACCTTGATGGATTTCAGAGATTATGGTAGTTTTTGAGCTTTTGTTAGTAAGTTTATTAACCGCTTTCCACATTTCTTTAGGATTATTATCGCATTTGTTCAAGGTATTCATAAAATATTCAGCTTTTGTGTTTTTAATTAACCTATTTAAATCGTTTCGAGTTCTCCTATACGCATCATGAAATTGTTTCGATCCTGTTCGAAAACATATTATGAAATTCCTTCATATCTATGGTTTTTTCTTCTTCTTTTTCATCCGTTCGTCTGTCAGGTGTGTTAGGTTTTGGGATTTTGGTATTGACTGGTCTATTTGGCGAACATGGGTTAAAATTATTTGAATTTTGCGCAGCGCGCTTGGAAGCATGTCGTTTGTCCGCCATGACTGACACAACATGAAATTTTCGATTGCTTTTCAATTGTTTAAAAAAGTAACCATTACGTGAATATAATTTCATTACTTGTAACAAAATTTGTCGTTCTCTACCTTAATTATAATGATTTGATGGGGTTTTTTTATAATCCCCGAGCCAACGGCGCGGAGCGCCGTGCGAAAGTACTAATTCCGCCCGCGGCTATTTACACACGGGAATCCGAACGCATTAGCCAAGTCTGAAGTTCATCAATGATTGCGGGAGACCAACGGTGGGTGATCATTCTCACTAATATCAAAAGTATGGCGGCTTGTCATGAATAGCGAACACTGATTGGTCCAATTTAAATTTTGCATGATAACGACTGCATGACGACAGCAAAATTATAGAAAACATTTCTTTTTTAATGAATTTGTCACTTTATACATGATACAAACTAATTGAGGACAAATAAAGACAGATACAAATCGTGTCAGGGGATAGGAACAGGACTCTCGTACCAAATTAACACCTAACCCCTAAAAAGACGCGAAATATAAATACAGATAAATAACAAACCATAAAGGTGATTTTCCAGTCCTCGCACGAAGCTGCTCGCAGCTCGCTGCGAGTGATGCATGAGCACTTTCATCCAATCACAATGCAAAACAGTTGATTTTAATTAGATGCAAGCACTCGCAACCAGCTGCGAGAAGCTTCGTGCGAGGTCTAGAAAACCGCCTTAACACATTAGGTTGTACTATTCGAACTCAAAGGTTCGTCGAGACAGGCCAAACGACATACCACTAAGCCACCAAGGGAGAACGAAAGTTTATGTCAAATTAAACACTATAGCTAATTGTCGTCACGCGCTTATCTTGTGCGGTGAAATAGTTACTATGCGGTGAATTGCGGTGAAGGATATAGGCAGTTCGCGGCAACTTAGAACCCCATGGTCGTAGCACTTTGCTTGCGGTAGTAACTTCTAGTATTTTCTTATACTGTATGTTGTATTTGAGCCAAAGTATACGCTAATTTGCACTATAAAGGTGCTGAACGTTCACACACTGCGACTTACCTACTATGCAGATTACAATTATTTAAAATCATTTTGGAAATCACGAGTCAATTTATATAACATATTTGTGAATATGATGAAAATGGCCGGATGATGGTTCAACAAATCGTAATGTGTAGACGCTGATCACGCAGTGCCCGGAGATACGTAATGCGATTATAACTTAGTAGAATACAACTGACTTATGAAGATGAGACTTAAAGATACTTAAAGAATTGGAGGATTTGACATGAGACAGTAGAATCACTGTTCCATAGTTTAACCGTTCTAATGAAAAAAGAATTTCTAAAATAGTCCTGCTTATGTTAAAACCAAACAAGTGTTTATCGCTTCCGCGGTAGCAAGCAATACATAAAACCTAAACTTTAGCGGCAATTTATCAGCCTGATGAGCTCCGTTTTCTGTGCGAAGGACTGCATGCAAAAGATCAATGACAGTACACCGTTCTGGTTAAAATAATGGCAATGTACAGGAGCACAATGCCGATTTAATGATTAACACAAAAATAACAAATTACAGATAAATGTTACAAATTTAGTATTCATGTATAGCACAGAAAAGGTGGAGTGTCAAAAAACGCCCCATATACAAAAACCTCCGGTAATATCGTAGAACGAAAAATGGGGCAAGGGAGGGCGGCAGGGAAGGGAAAACTTGTGGTGACTTGAAAACTTGCCTTGCGAAGCCAAAGGTGAATGACCTTCAGCTGTTAACGGTCAACGTTTTATATAGTAGATCCACGTGAAGCGTGACATGGAAATTCATTGATGTGTTGCAAAAATTCCACGGAAACTAAAACTGGTTGAACGAGTTTCCCTGTGCGAAGGACTGCACAAAGATCAATAACACTACACCGTTCTGGATAAAACAATGGCAATGTGCAGGAGCGCAATGTCGATTTAATGATTAACACAAAAATAACTAATCACAGATAAATGTTACAAATTTAGTATTCATGCATAGCACAGAAAAGGGGGGGTGTTAAAAAACGCCACAAGCCGACTATAAGGAGGCACCCCACCCCATCAGGCCGTGAAATCGCCGCCAGAGCCCATGGACTAAACTGATATAAATCGGGAAAGCAAAGCAACCGGCCACTCATGATATACAAATAATCAGCGAGTCTCATAAGCCTAAAATACCATTACTGAACGTATAAATTTAATAATAGACGTATGGCACTGACAGTAAATTAGAACTCTGAAGCCGACCAAGAACCTAGCCCCTGCATCAGCGCACGGATGGGCAACAAAGTACATTATAAAAACTACACAAGCTGAAACCATGAACCTTAAGAAAGCCTCGCCAGCCTAGCCCCTGCATCAGGCAGAAGAGTGTTATCATGCGTTAAATGTGCTATTCATTAACTAGACATATATTTGTGGCCTACTACTAAGCGTTTGCCTCACAAATACAAGAATGCAGCCACACTCAGTCGCAATTAAGACGAAGCCGAATTTAGGCTTGGTATGCGAACACGACAGTACGTTGGGACTGACGATGGCTGCAAACTCGCTCTTAGCGAAGTAGAAGTTATATCTGCCAACTGCGTGGATAAAGCTGGGCGGGAAAAGCGGCAATCACCGAGGGATACATTTGCACGCCCGCCGGCGTCAGCTCGCGGAATTTCGAAACCTGTAAACGTGACAAAGCATCAGCCAAAATATTTTTCGCACCTGGAACATGCTCAGAACGAATTAAAATGTTTTAAAAATTTCAAGCAAGCGAGATCCAGCCGACGGACAAATATCATCACAGTGGGATCCCGTGAAGTAATCTTAATTATGATCTCGACCAATGCTGCATTGTCCGTGTAAAATAGTATGCGGTAGTTTCGCATGAGATGACCCCATAAGTGGACACTCAGGACAATTGGACAAAACTCTAAAACAACAATGTTGAGTTTTTTCCATTCCTCAGGCCAAGGCCAATAAAACCAAAAGTTTGGCAATATAGCGCAAAAGCCATGACCCGCAGCGGCATCAGTTTATTAATTCAAAAGGTTGAAAGGAAGCCAATCATCGGAAAGAAAAAACGCGCGCCCGGCCATCGAAATCATCCAGAAAGGATTTCCAAAGGCCTAAATCTGCTTTAACGGACCTTGGTAGACGAATACGATGAACGGGAGCATTAACACCCTTGGTTAAATCAATGAGACGCCGCAGAAAAGCCTGACCCGGTGGTATGACAGTGCAAGCGAAATTAAGCAGACCAATCAAAGATTGAACCTCTTTTAAAGTGGCTCGCTACAGTTTATAGAAATGTTGAAAATGCGTACACTAGATCACCTTTTTGAAGAGATGATGCTCTTTACAAATCGAAATTTGTATATTATATATACAGCGACAATCAAACAGTCGAAAATTGGTCAGAAAAGTGACGTCACCACTGTTCCTATGGCAACAATGACAATTCAAGATAGCCGATATTTTGGCTTTGAACGCATTTTACCTTAAAAAAGGTTACCTCCATTTTTTATTTCAGAAAACATTTTGTTATAGTGCAATGCACTATCTGACGAATTTTAAAAAAATTCTGTAAGGCAAAAAAAAGTATTTCGAACAACCATGTTTATAAATTTTTTAAAAATTTGGCACTACAGAATTTTTTAAAAATTGGTCAGATAGTGTACTGTGCTATAAGAAAATGTTTTCTGAAATAAAAAGTGGAGGTAACTGACCTTTTTTAAATTAAAATGCGTGCAAAGCCAAAATATCGGCCATCTTGAATCGTCATTGTTGCTATAGCAACAGTGGTGACGTCACTTTTCTGACCAATTTTCGACTGTTTGATTGTCGCTGTATATATACTAGAAATTACTATCGCATGGAAAATGCTGCCTCATCCTCACGGGATCAAAGGCAGCATGCGCAATTTGCTGAATAAGGGCTGTTTTTATGATCCCGCTTTGTCAGGACGAGATATGAGGCGGAATGATTTCGATGTATTGAAATAAGTCACTGTGCACAATTCAGCAAAAAACTTCATTGTTTTCTAGAGATAGATTTATATAAGTAACTGTAAACGGAAAGTTGTTCAAGCAGCAATAATAATCTTCTTGTTGAACTACAAGATCTTCTCTACAACATTTAAGTTCTGTTAACAAGCATGGTGACTTATTTCAATACATCAAAAGTCATCCCACCTTCCATCATGTGAACAGCACCTAAGACACATGTTCATGATGTAGGAAAAGTGCACTTCGAATACCAAACACCTTGCACAAGGTCAAATATCAGCTAAATATTCTAATTCTAATACAGTCAGTGGTGAAGCTACAATCGCGTGCAAAAATAATGAGACTCTTCACATTTTGGTGATCTTTTTCACGTGCGTGCCCCCCTCCCCCCATTAACAATGTTGAAAACATATTATTTGATAAGCCCTGACCTCAAAATCATTTTAACAACATTGCACAAAGGGGGGGGGCAAGAAGCATTGTTGCAGCAAGGAGAGGGCCAATAAACTGCTTGTCTCAAGAATTTTTGCACGCGATTGTCTTAGCAGAAGCCTCATTGTGTTCACAAACTTAATTAAATTTTTGCCAAAAATTGAACTTAACGCAGTCTCGGACAAAATTTTCATTTTTCGCGCTTTAAGCCCAGTGATCTAGTTTTCGTGCGAAACTCGCACAAAAATGGACTCAAAAAACGCAGAATGGGGGACTGGGTACGAGTAAAAAACCGTTTTGAACTGCTTATTGGATCCTCTATGTCTCCTGTTCTAACTTTTCAATCGGGACTCTGACATCCAATTTTTGCAACTTTAAGCAACGCAATTTTCTACTACGGCAGAAACGGACAGATTGAGGAACGCGAAACAGAAATTATCTGGTTTGTTTGGTGGAGGGTCTTTGAGTTTCCCCGGAAGATTCCGCAGGCGGAGCAGAAAGACCTGTCTCCGTACCCACGCTGTTTTGACGAACTGGTATTTTTGGATGAACAGTTTTAACTTTTTTCATGCTGCCATCATTGCACATTTACTCTCAAAGAAATATATAAGAATAGATGACACGTTACGCACACGTTACGCACACGTTACGCCACACGTTACGCTTGACTTTATATAGAATATTAATGAAAACCGACACGTTACACACGTTACGCCCCATTCTTATAAAGGTAGAGTAGGTCTACCTTTAATATATTAGGCGTAACGTGTGTAACGTGTCAGCTTTCTATAGATTATTATATACTGAAAGGCGTAACGTGTGGCGTAACGTGTGCGTAACGTGTGCGTAACGTGTTGAAATTGAGTTCTATTTAGTTTGCATGCATGTATAAGGTCTTCAAAATAATTTTCACGCGGAAGCAATAAATCGTTGAGTTTTCGCATAGTACTTAGTATTGAATATGCATGGTAGAAGTGTGTACTTAATTAATACATTCGTCACTATTAAGCATCTAAAACAGTAATTGAAGTCAAAGGCTCTGCCAATATAAACGGTATAAACAAGGAAAAACATTGTAATATAGAAACACTTAATAAATGTAATACTTCAATTGTTCTCCTCCGTTTCTCACTGATCATTGCAACACGCTTGTTCATCGATATAATAATTCAGTCCATAGTACTTTTTGACAAATTCATCGTCGTGCTTTTAACTCTTTCGGAAAATTGTTCAAACTTTTCTGACGTGATCTGCTTGACAATGGCATCTTGTCCTAACTGTTTTGATACTCAAGCGGGACGCGTTCAATTTATGAACTATTTATGGTCGTTTATGACGTCACGATGACATCATTGTGACGTCACAATTTTACACACTGTAGGGAAAATCCTTAGGCACACACCAAACACATAGTAACAGTAAGCAAAGGCTGTTATGCTTCTTATTTACAACAAAGCGAAATAACCGTATTAGAATTATCATTACTCGAAACTACATAGACTGTCTTAGCAAAGGCCTCTTTATGGTCCCAAACTTAATTAAATTTCTGTCAAAAATTTAACTTAACGCTATCTCGGGCAAAATTTTCATTTTTCGCGCTTTAAGCCCAGTGATCTAGTTTTCGTGCGAAACTCGCACAAAAATGGACTTAAGAGACGCAGAACGGGGGACTGGGTACGAGTAAGCAACCGTTTTGAACAGCTTATTGGATCCTAAATGTCTCCTGTTCTAAGCTTTTTTTCAATCTGGACTCTGACATCCAATTTTTGCAACTTTAAGCGTCGCAAATTTTCTACTACGGCAGAAACGGACAGATTGACGAACGCGAAACAGAAATTATCTGATTTGTTTGGTGGAAGGTCTTTGATTTTACCCGGAAGATTCCGCAGGCGGAGCAGAAAGACCTGTCTCGGTACCCACGCTGTTTTGACGAAATGATGTTTTTGGATGAACAATTTTAACTTTTTTCATGCAGCCATCATTGCACATTTACTCTCAAAGAAATATATAAGCATAGATGACACGTTACGCACACGTTACGCACACGTTACGCCACACGTTACGTTTGAGTTTATATAGAATATTAATGAAAACCGACACGTTACACACGTTACGCCCCATTCTTATAAAAGTAGAATAGGTCTACCTTTAACATATTAGGCGTAACGTGTGTAACGTGTCAGCTTTCTATAGATTATTATATACTGAAAGGCGTAACGTGTGGCTTAACGTGTGCGTAACGTGTGCGTAACGTGTTGAAATTGAGTTCTATTTAGTTTGCATGCATGTATAAGGTCTTCAAAATAATTTTCACGCGGAGGCAATAAATCGTTGAGTTTTCGCATAGTACTTTTATTGAATATGCATGGTAGAAGTGTGTACTTAATACATTCGTCACTATTAAGCATCTAAAACAGTAATTGAAGTCAAAAGGCTCTGCCAATATAAACGGTATAAATAAGGAAAAACATTGTAATATAGAAACACTTAATAAATGTAATACTTCAATTGTTCTCCTCCGTTTCTCACTGATCATTGCAACACACTTGTTCATCGATATAATAATTCAGTCCATAGTACTTTTTGACAAATTCATCGTCGTGCTTTTAACTCTTTCGGAAAATTGTTCAAACTTTTCTGACGTGATCTGCTTGTCAATGGCATCTTGTCCTAACTGTTTTGATACTCAAGCGGGACGCGTTCAATATGTGAACTATTTATGGTCGTTTATGACGTCACGATGACATCATTGTGACGTCACAATTTTACACACTGTAGGGAAAATCCTTAGGCACACACCAAACACATAGTAACAGTAAGCAATGGCTGTTATGCTTCTTATTTACAACAAAGCGAAATAACCGTATTAGAATTATCATTACTCGAAACTACATAGACAATCGCGTGCAAAAATAATGAGACTCTTCACATTTTGGTGATTTTTTTCACGTGCGTGCCCCCCTCCCCCCACTAACAATGTTGAAAACATATTATTTGATAAGCCCTGACCTCAAAATCGTTTTAACAACATTGCACAAGGGGGAGGGGGGGGGAAACCATTGTTACAGGAGGGAGAGGGCCAATAAACTGCTTGTCTCAACAATTTTTGCACGCGATTGTAGGTTTTCAATAACTCCCAACGAAATCATGTAGAACACGCCTCCCAATATACGTGGAAAACACGTAAATAATGCTTCGGTACATTCTGAGTCAAAATATTATATATGTACATAAATTTTAGTTTCATTTTTATATTCGGACAATCCTGGTCAAAAATATTGGCGCACTTGAGACTGACTGTGCGAAATTTGACTCCCACTTCAATAACAAGCATAGCAACCCCCCCCCTTTCCTCCGTTCAATGATGTCTGTAGTGTGTTATACGTCCATGGTGTTACACAACATTGATAAGGGGGATAGGGGGTGTTTGGACATGAAATTTTACATAAAACGTGCAAGTATTTATATGGGAATCAGAAATGAAGTAAAGGTTATGCTATTTCGACTAAGTGCGCCAAGGATTTTTGACCAGGATTGTAGGTAATTATATATGGGATGTTAAAAGTTTGTCATATTATACATTTAATATAGTTACAGCATTTAGAATTACGTTACATTAAAATTTTGTTATATGGTGCACTAGTCACAGGACATTCTAGAATTATAGGATTGCTTGATAAGTTGAATTAGAGTTAATAAAATTTCTCTACAGATTGTATGTATTTTAATTTTCATTTTAATAGAGCGTACAATCAACAATAAGTCATTAATAAATGTGGGTACAGTATTTACCTCAGCAATTTTGTACCCATTTCATATATAGTTCTTATTCTGTCTGTTTTTATTATAAAAAAAATGGTGACTTTCTGACAGTTGATTGTAGTAGAGAAGAGACTGAAATCTGAACATTCTTTGTCATATCATAAAAGTGACAGTACAGCCGGAATAGTAAATTTTCGGCTATGTAGTGACTATAGTATAAAAATTTTTATTTTAAGTATAAAAATTTTTGTTTGCGCTAGCTTTTACCGAACTTGCCGTTAGCGTATGCGGTAAAGCAGGGGTGTAGGAACGGGGGGGGGGGCACGGCCACGTGATGAAAAGTGCCCTTTTTATGATGAAAAGTGCCATTTTTGTACAAGTTAATGTCGCTGTAAATACTAAATTAACATCAAAGGTGCCCTTTTTGTTTGGAAATTTCCAAGTTTTTTAAAAAATTAGGTCAAAAAGTGCAATTTCGGTATGGTACGACGGGAAAATTTTTCATTTTTCTTTTAACTTTTTGTATTGGTATTGACCCTAAAGTGCCCCTAGAAGTCGGTCCCCCCCCCCACACACAATCTTTTGATGCTTCCTACGCCCCTGCGGTAAAAGCACTGCGTGCGGAAAGTGAAACACAGTCCGGGTCAGGTTGTGTTTTGTCTTTTTTTAACTTTTCCCCCCCCCTTTTCTAACTTTCAAAAGGTCGTGGTTAGCAGTTAGGATTAGAGAACGGTTTGGGGTTGGGATAGATTTATCTGATAAAAGTTCAACTTAAAGTATAGTCACTATCATAGTTGCCAACCCTCTCACATCCTGCTGTAGACACCAGCGCAGCTTTGATTTGTCCGCATTGCTCCAGCGTTGCCAATTTCTCCAGCAATTTTAAAGTATTCTCCACTATACTTACTATACTCACTATACTTGGATCCTGTCATATCCCTTTATATACCAAACTGTATCAAATATTCCAGCTTCTGCTATGTTAATGCTAGTCTCCTATGCAGACCTACTTTAGCGAGTTTGGGCCCGCCACGTACGGTCTGCTTACTTTCGCTAGCAATTCGCCTTCCCATTGTATTTCATTATTAGTCAATAGCATCAGCCTCGTACCCAGGCGCAAATAACGTACTAAAAATAGCAACACTACAGTGTTTTTATATAGATCAGTGGCTAAGATGAGCGAGCGCGCGGGGTACTTGGGGAGGACGCGGGAAACGAAGCGCCTGGCAGAATTTGTACCAAACATGGCGGACATGAGAATGCAAAGAAGGAAATTGCTGTACACTGCTGTACTATACTAAATGAAATTGAAAGGCTTGCCTAACGAGCGGTACATTTGGGAAAGATTTTATGTCTAAATGATCACTGCGTTGATAATAAGGATTTTTCCTCGAAAACAGTATTTTAATTAAAGGTCTCCTCAGGAGACCAGCCTCTCGAAATTAGAAAGTCTGCTGGTTATGAGAGTACTCAAGATCATTGAACATTCTAAAAAAAAATAACGATTTATTTCAAATGGTTGAAAATATATGTCTGGTATTGGACGCACATCATGAAATATACTGCCTTTTTGCAGTTTGAAAGAGAAACTGACCAAGCAAAGTCAAAGAAACTGGCTTATTCTTGAATCTTTTAATTTTAATTTTAATATTTTAATAATACATTGAATTTATATGGAATGTTGAAATTACTATTTATTTGTACTGATGATACCTTTTACCTCAGAGGAGAAAATTTATAACTAGAAAATATTTTATTGTAGGTTTCTTAGTTTCTAAAATTTTACCAATAAAAAGGCCTATATTAAACATGCATGAGTGCTTTATAGTATGCAAAATATCAGTGAAGATATAAACATTTAATAAATTTAATAATATAAAACCTGTTTTGGCCATTTAGCTATTGTTGTAACTGGCTGACAGTAAGTTTAAAGGCTAAAGCACAAACCAACCCAGTGTTTTATACTTTGATGTGTATTTTGTGCTTCACCTTGCATTTGACCTATAAAGGCTATTGCCCTTGATTTCCAAAATCTACCATGTTTACACTAAGGATTGGGGTATACTCTGGACTTACCTGTGGCCACATATAATGCATTTGACACCTAGTTACAGGACAGTGTCTAACAAACTGGACAATTTAAAGGTATGGTTGCATATTGCAATTTGTTGGGCTGATTTCAGATGCATGTTAATAATCAATGATATTTGAAAAATATGTGGCAAACATCATCCGATGGTCTCACTGAAGATATGTGTCAACATTAAACATACACACATTACATATACACACACACAAAAATACATATACACATGTACCATAACACACTTCACACATGATTTACCCTGTTGTCATGGAAATTGGTCTCGGGATTAAACAATCCAAACATGTGTATACTACATGGTGAGCCACCCCAAATTCTTCACCTGAAATCATTTCAGGTCACTCAGGCTAGGTCCCAGTAAAGTGCTTGGACAAGTGTAGGTTTGTAATGTAAACACAACAAGACTTATCCCAGTTGTTTCTGTGCTTGCTCCTAAATCCTGTATATGGTCATAACATTTAAAGTGTTGAGAATTTTATTTATTGTGCTCATAACATAAACTACTAGTATTTACATTCAAAGGAATCTTGAGCTATAGCAATATTTATGCAAATTTAATACTCTTGTGGGTTTTTATTTATAGACCCATGCACTCACCCACAGCTGAACTTCTCAACAAGCTAGGTACATTGGCACAAATTAACAGCTTAGCCCATTAAGTTCCACTGCACCCTACTGGGGCTATGGTGGCGTGCTGATTGCACCACCGACTTTGGTAGTGCAATTGTCAGAGCAAGGACTTTTTACCTCCGAGATTGTTGGTTCAATTCTCACCACTTCAATGACACTTATGTGAAAAGAATCATGCAGTCAACACTCTGACAAAAGTTGTGGGTTTTCTCCGGGAACTCCAGTTTTCTATAGAGGGAATGTTGACAGGGTGGCTTGGGATTAGCCTCTAACTCACCCTCCATAAGGTGGCTGCCAGAGGCACCCTCAGAAAGCCTTTTACTCAATCAAATTGTGCTATGTTTAACTGTACCAGCTACAGAGAAAATATACATTTCATGGGTTGCAAATATAATATTATATCTATATTCATATCACATTAGTCGAAGATCTTTTGGAATTCAAGAACATCAGTGACAAATGTCAAACGGCACACAATACACTGAAAAACAAAAATATTCAAATCGCTTCATGGCAAATTTAATATACATGTATCAAGCAGTAGTCATAATAGTGACAGCACTAATGGGCCCTACTGGGCTCTGTATCAATTCAGTGATTGTTTGCTGAAAATAAACTATTCAAGTATTTACAACTTTTAGAATTGTATAGTATAAAGACATTTGATCAGGAAATCTCTTTGGCTGGAACTCGACATGGGCTTTTGATTCTGGTGTTAAATTATTAAAGGTGCTTCCCTGGTTGAAATTATTCTTTCTCCTTTTGTGGGGAGCTTACAAATTCTTTTAAAATATGAAACCTATTTCTTGTGGTCATCTTGACCAAGATTTATACAATGATGCACACATAATATACAGAGATTAATGAAATCTCAAGGCAAACCAATACAAACACTCACCTCTAACACTCACTTCTTGATAATTCCTTGATAATTCCTTCAGCGATTGTTCCAGGTTATCCATAAGCACATATAAATACTAGAGGGCACTCGGAGACTGCATACCTCCGCCCGCTACTCGGAAGTGAAACGCAACCTTGGAATTTCCTAAGAAATCCACTTTGCAATTCTTAAGCATAAAAGATTTTAGGCCCCCGCGAATTGAAATCGAATTGCTAATAGATCATATTACTGTTGTTATACTGTACAGTACTTGTAAAATAAAAACTTATTAAGTGTCATTAAATAAATGCATAAATTTTGCTTTATGCACTCGCGCGTGCAGTAATTTTGACAGTGGTGCTATTTTAAATTCCCAGGCAGCTAAAATCTTTTGTCTTTAAAACATTGTCGATTTCTTGGGAAATTCCGAGGCCATATTCTAAACACTGGACTGGACTTTGGACTGGACTTTGGACTTTGGACTTTGGACTATGGACTTTGGACTTTGGACTATGGACTATGGACTTTCGACTTTCGACTTTCGATTTTGAAATTATATTATTTTTCAGATTTTCGTTTAATTATATTAAAATCTAAACAGAGAACGAAAATTTGCTGCTGAAAAGCGTGCTACACTGCATGTACATGCATGATATAATATACAAGGTAAAAAATACTCAGTATCAGTTATATAGGTATACCAGCAATGCAATTTCATACGGATATAGCCTGTAGGATAGC